GGCGTGGGAGAGTGGGAGGGGTCCAGAAGGCTGGAGGAGAGCACCACTGCGGGTGTGACTCCGACCAGCCCCCCTTCCCCACCGCCCCAGCCCCCTTCCTTCCTTCTTTCCTTCCTTTCCCGTTTAGGACAAACAAAAGATCTTGTGCTGTGATCACTGTGGACAAACCCCACCCGGCTGGCCACGCCGGGCTTGGCTGGCCTGCGCACCTGGGGCAGTGTGGATCGGCAGCCAGCGTCCACACACTGCGGTCGCTTTTAGGTATGAGAGCCAGGCCCGTGCGACCCTCTCATAAAATAAAAGGAGAGCTTTGGTTCGGTTGGTTTCGGTCATTTGTTTGGGGGAAGAGAGGGAAAAAAACCCTGCAGGCTCTCTCTCGTGTGTGTGTGTGTGTGTGTGTGTGTGTGTACGTGTGAGTGCATCCAGCCCAGAGATCTGGACCGAGGCAGGCTGTTATTCTTTGCTCACAGACAGGGCTTCCACGTCGATAAGCTGTAGTCTGTGCATGTGTATATTTTACAGTTTATGCTCCTGTTCCCCCTTTCTCGTCTGGTGTGACCTAGTCTGGTGGCTAGAACTCCATCTGACAGGCCACCTCCTATCTTCCCTCTGCACCACCACCCCCTCTACACACACACAACTGAGGTTCTTTTTGGGGCTGAAACCTGAAGTATAGTGGGTCTGGTTGCTTTCTGGGTTTGTTGGCTCAAAGCCAAAGGAGAAAAAGGTAAAAAAGAAAAAACCCATTGCGTTGATGTTACCGAGGAATGGTTTGCTTTCGCCCGAGCTAAGACTCTTCTATTTGGCTCCTGAAACCTGATTTTCAGAGATTTTGCAGTGTTTGGGGAATGATGGACCCCTGTGCCCCTGCCTGCCCCACCCCTCCCCCCGCGGAAGGAGTTCTATGGGAGGGGGTCTATAAAGAGAAAGTTGGAGCGGTAGGGAGATGGCTTTTCATGACATTTGACTTAGAGACCAGTGTGTTCGGAATATGACACTGACCGCCTATGACACTGACCACACTCTGCCAGGCTGTTTTTGAGAAGCAAGAGTTCTTAGATGTGTTGATGTCTGTTCTCTAGTATTTCAGAAGAAACATTTATCTCATAAAAGATAGACTCCAGGCCGGAGTGTTCGGATGATAAACGGAAGCAGTTCCTAGAGTGCTTTTGTGAGAGTCTACAGATGAAATTAATATCCTCTGTGAGATGCATTTGGGTGTATTTAATCACAAGGCCCCGGCTTCTGCTAGGAGGTGATTAATGGCAGTAGGGTGATTAGACATGGTGCAGTAAAGCCACAGGGCTCTAAATGACCCTTCTATCAGGAGGCTTCCAAAGGGTGTATGTATGTGTGTGTGTGTTTGGGTGGTGGTGGTGGGGAGGACAGAAATCACACCATCTTTCCACTCCATTTCCCCACAACTTTTTGAAGCCTCCCTGGTCTCTACCTTCCATTGACCGGGGTGACTGCTTCAGTGATGGTCTGGAATGGCGTGGGTTTACAGGTGGCCTTTTGCCTCTGAATGTCAAGGACACAAGTTGATTATGTGAACACCCCTTCTGAGACGTTCGGGAGGTCACAGGATGAAAGGGAGATGCAGCACCTGGGCAACCATGGGCAGGCTGCCCCCCACCCCCCTCCATGGTCATTCAACTGGGAGGGGTGGGACAGCTTTACAGGCTCTCGGCTGCAGCTTGATTCGCCGACAACCGTCTTTGATGGCTCTGTGTCAGATCGTTTCCGTTGGCCCAAAGCAATGCTTTAATAGTTCATTGCCTCTCTGTCAGTAGATGAGGGGCCCCCCATCCAGCCGAAGCCTTAAACGTTCTGAGCTCACCACCAGCACCACCATCGCAGAAGTAGCGCACACTGGCACAGGCTCCGGTGCCCACTGCCCTGGGCACAAGTCAACAGGCAGAAGAAGCCCAGAGCAGATCTGGGAACACACTGAAGAAATGATTCCCGTCTCCAGAAAGGGAGCCGCGATGGGCTTGAGGCTGGGAAGAAGGCGTTCCCTAGTGAACAGAGAGCACCCTCGCCTCCCGTTTTATGACTCGCTGTAAAACAGGATTTTTATTTCCTTCGCGGGCATTTTTCGTGCCAGGGCTATGTAACCTCCTTTGCTCGAATCCGGCCCCAAGTGATGGTTGTGTTATTGTACAGGCAAGTTGGCGGGACCCATAGACAGGGGAGTCTTGTCCTAGTGAAGACCATCTGTGTCCTAGGTTCTAGAGCAGGGATGGGGATGTTTTTTTCTGCCAAGGGCCATTTGCATGGTCTATCATCTCGTTCGAGGGACCATATAAAAAGATCAACTTAAAAAGGAGCCTGCTGTATTTTTGGTCAAACATTTCACGAACTCACCCCGAATGTGCTGGCTGGGGCTATTTCTGATGAGGTAGCTGGTATTGATGATGTCCTAGGCCTTATCTAGCCTGAGAGGACCCTGGTGGCGGAGTGGTTACCCATTGGGCTGCTACCTGCCAAGTTAGCAGTTCAAAATCAAGGACCCCCCCACCCCCTGAAAGTTGGGGCTTTTTACTCCTGTAAAGAGTTAAGAGCCTCAGAAAATCACAGGGGGCAGGTCTCCCCGCCTTATAGGGTCCCTATGATTGACGTTGACTCCCGGTGGTGAGTCTGGGTTTTGATTTGTTCTATCGCCTGAGGACCTGGCCTTCCCCCACCAGGTTCTGGCAGGAGGGCCTGGTTCTGCTGTCACAGTGTGAGGACTTATCTCTGAATGGATACGACTACGTATATGTTAGGAAACTGTGACCCTAACCTCCCACCTGCTAGCATGAAGGAGCCAGTTGGTTGAGATTGAAAATATTCTGTTTCTTCCTCGCTGCCCCCATGGTACATTCTTTGTGTTTTGACTACATGGATATTTAAAGAATTCCAGCTATACCAGTCAAATGAAGGATTCAGCCAATGAATTCAACAGCTCCAGCAGCTTGTGGTGGGGAAGGTGTTGGAGCAGCAAGAAGCCGGCCCTGTGAACCATTTCCAACCGGAGAACAGAGAGCACTAGCCAAGGCCCTCCTGGCTTTCCTGTGGAGATGGTTTTCCAGGATTTTAATGGCGTCCTTTTCCAAGTTACCTTCAACGCACTACGGAATCATCACGGGAGCATCAAGCAGGCCCCCAAGGTGCTGGTGTGTGAAGTTCAGAATCGGATCCGGGGCTGGTGACGCCTGTCGGAAGATTCGAATACTTGACGAAGGCATGCCGGTCACAGCAGTGGCCGAATTGCAGCACAAAAGTCTCATCAGTGCAGGACCAGGACTGCTCAGCTTGAGCTACCTTCTGTGTAGACCGATTCACGACACACACTAGCTCGGGGGGGTCACCAAACTGCTGCTCTTTCAACAGGTACACGTGGCTCTGAAGTACAGTATATCTGAAAATGAAAATAAGACCCTATTCACCTAATGGTGATTTCATTTGTTTGTAAAAATACAGTTATGGCTCTCCAATGATTTTGAAACTGTGGTGAAGGACAGGCTTGGCTCTCCCATCTCCAAAGTTTGCCGACACCTGGGCTAGCTGATGCTATTTCGTCTTCCATGGGCACCAACTGGGGGGAAGCTCCCGACTGAGTTTGAACCAATCCCAGTCGCAAACAGGTTTTTGGGATTTCAAGGGGTCACAGCAGCAAAACAAATGCAGACTATTTGTAGGGGTTGTCTTTCCTTATACTGGGGGACCCTGGTGGTGTAGTGGTTATGTGTGGGGCTGCTAACTTCAGGATCAGCAGTTTGAAACCACCAACTGCTCCTCGGGAGAGAGACACGGCTTTCTACTCCTTTGAACAGTTACAGTCTCAGAAACCCACAGGGGCAGTTCTACCCTGTCCTGTAGGGTCGCTCAGAGTTGGCATGGACTCGGTGGCAGTGAATTGGTATTTTGGTTTTGCACCTACTTGGTTTCCCCAAAATTTTCTGCCAATTTCAGAATTACTCATATAACCTCTATGAAAGCAATGACTCCCGGCGCACAAAGGGTTTATTCATTAATCTCACAAGTCGCTTTTGGACATTTGCATTTAAGTGAGTATGCAAATAGTCCAGGCTGGCCCAGTTCTCCAGGTGAAAAGAGGGATAGGTGTCTAGATTCCTCTGGCTAGCACTGTCCCACGGTTTTCATTGCATCTTTGTTCGGATTCGTTGGTTAATTTTGACCCGAGTGACTAATAGCGGTCGCGCCCTCTCCACGTCTTCATTGACTTCCTCGGCATCTTCCTCGTGTGCTGTTAGCGTCGTCTGACCAGCTGCATAGTGGGACCCCTTCCCTGCTGTCAGATGCCCTCTGACGTTTCCTCTTGAGTTACAAACATGGATTTGCTGCCCCATCCCCCAGTCCCTGCGGCGTAGTGGTCTATGCTAACACAAGGTCAGCAGTTCAAAACCACCAGCTGCTCCTCCTGAGAAAGACGGGGCTTCCTGCCACCAAGTGGTTGCAGTCCCGAAACCCACCGAGGCAGTTCTACTCAGTCCCACGGGGTCCTGCGAGGCAGAGCGAC